CGAGATCAACAAGAGCCTGCAGAGGGAGGGCGTCCGCGGGGTGACCGTCTGCACCATCATGAAGAGTCAAGGTGAGGGCACAGGAGGGGGAGCGTTGGGTCTGTCCCCTCCTGCCTTCCTGAGGAGCTGCTCACAGATACAGTCTCCGAGCAAACCCTACCCCAGGGTCATTTCAGCCGTGGAAGACCAGATTTCTGGGTGATTTGTGATTATAATAAATCCTTTAGAAGCCTCTGGAGTGCTTGGGCAGGGTGAGGCTGCTGAAGGCAGGAAGGCGAAGGATCTGTAGCGGAAGATTTCTAGTGAAAGGTTCCCTGCCCATGTCAGGGAAGTTGGAACACAGAATGTCCCTTCCAAACAAAACCATTCTGTTATTCTGTGCTTCAATATCTGAAAAGGGTGTTAGAGAACTGCCAGAAGACTTCTGTTCTCTTTGGAAAGCAACGACCAGGAGACCAAAGGCCTCCAAAGCTGGAGAAACCCAGAGGGTGGCAGTAGAGAAATGAGTGTCCTGTGGGGTAGATGCTTCCATCTATGGCCAGATGCTTCCCTCTAAGAAAATCTGGATTGTTTCCCCTTTCTAGGAAGTGAATGGAGATATGTGATCCTGTCAACTGTACGGTCCTGCCCCCGGTCTGAGATCGATAGGAAGCCCACAAAGAGCTGGCAGAAGAAATACCTGGGGTTTATTACTGACCCAAACCAGGTCAATGTCGGCATCACACGAGCTCAGGAAGGGCTCTGCATCATAGGTTGGTATCCTTGGACCATGCACAAGCCTTCAGGGGAATGGGATTCTTGGATAAAGGGATGGTGATCCAAACTAGTACAACCAGTGATCTTGGTTTATTCTTATGCCCTTTAGTCTGGGGTTTTGAAACTGGGGAATCTGGGCAAAGCCCATTCATAACTTGAATACAGCAAGTATAGTTAGTTTTTCTCACCCTTTGTTTTGGACCATGGTGTTTCTATTGCTTTCATGCTAGAACTCTGTCCTAACAAAAATCTGGCTTCTCATTTTACTCCTAATCACGCTGGTGTAGGCTGTGATGTGTAAGGATGCTGCTCACAGACATGACAGCATGGAAAAGGGAGCTGGGATTTCACAGATATGCCCCTGCAAGTGACCCAGCACGCTCAGCTAGAGATTATAGACACAAATGGTATCAGCCAAACCTCTTTGAGCCACTAACCTGCTGTCCCCATCCTGCTGCCCACAGGGAACCGGTACCTCCTGGAGTGCAACCCTTTGTGGAAGAGACTGGTGCAGCATTACTACCGCCACAACAGCTGCACTGCAGCCCAGGAGATCCGTGTCAGGAGGAACCCAGCCCGCTCCCGGTGAGGATGGGCCCTCTCTGCCTGAACTGCATTCTGTGTGCCTTGGGAAGGACCAAATCTTCCCATTGTTCAATGACCTACGGAGCCAAACGCAGCGGGGGATCTGGGAGCTACCAGCACTGTGACAACTCAGCTTCAGCGTCTGCTTCAGCGTCTTGAGGTGTTTTTAATCAGTGCAATCTTGGGCAGGAACTTTCAATTCTAGCAAACCAAAAAGGCATTGAAGGTAGATGATGGGCATGTGACTTTACTGATAGTGATACTGTTTTTGTAACTGTAAGTTGCTCAGCAGAACCCTCATCCTGCTGCAGCTGCAGTTTGGGGGGACCAAATATTTACTCCAGCTGTCAGGGTTGCACTTTGGGGATCAAATGCTCAGTCTGTTCATCGGGGTGGAACAACTGTGTGCAGTGGAGCAGTGCAGCAAGATGCTGTTTGACGTGGAGGACCAAAGCTTCTGAGCACTGCCTCTCATTTTAAATCCAAGGACAAAAGATTTTTAAGACTTCCCACTTTTTACTTTTTTTTTTTTTTAAATGATGGAGGAAAGCAATCAGAGATGCATGTACCACTCTTTGTCTAGCCAAAATGATGTTCTCTGAGCATGTAAATATCGCAGCGGCAAGGCCAAGGTGATTTTGTAAATAGATTTAAGTGTTCTTTGTACAAAAGAAGTTGTCCTCACCAGCATAAAGGCAATGAAAAGCGGGGACCTCTCCTACTAGGAAACGTTGGGATTTGTCAACCCATTTTAAACTGTTCAGAATTTTATTTGAAATCTCCTGTTGATCCTCCCTCCCTTTCCTACCCCATTTTTTTTAAAGCTGCTTTTAATTTATTAACTTTTAACTCTGTGAATTTGTTTCACAGCCTTATGGCCTGAGTTTTTAAGAGCAGTGAAGGAGTGTATGCCTATAATGTATTTTTATATTTTCTGTAGCCAAACTGCTGTGAGCTGGAAGCTGTGGTTCACTAGAGAGGCTGCTTTCACCCAGTGACATGTGGCTGGTAGAGATGTATTGTGGTGAATGGTGCCCTCTGAAAATCATGGAGCCGCTTTTGAAAGCCTGACAATTTTGAGGGACGGTGTCTTTTATCTCATTTCAATTCTGAATGTGTGAAGGGCCTGCCTCGGCTCTCCCTAAACCACACGCTTGGCTGTCCTTAGGTGTTCATGTGGGATGGAGCTGAGATGCAATCACACAGGTTTTCCTTGTGGTGTGGATGCCGGTGATGTCACAGCGCTATGGCAGGAGGAATTTTGTCCTGTTTGCAACTGAAATCCAGTGTGGTTCTTTCCCATGTGGAGGAATGGCAATAGGAAAGCATTGTGTCTGTAAAAGTCTCAATTTAACACTGTGTTTCTTCTCATGACTCTCTGTTAGACTTGCCTCCAGAACCTATGGGGAGGTTTTGTTGTTCTCTTCCTAGTCTAAGTTGCCTTCTTGCAGTCTCTCTTTGGGGGGTTTGAGCTGTATGCCAAAGACCACCCAGGCTTGCTCTTGTCCTACTGAAACATAAAAGTGGCATATGGCTGGCAATTCTGTGAAGGATAAAAACCCATAGGAAGTATCTCCTGCTGGTTCTAAAGATGCTTGGTAAAAGCTAGTAAGGTGTAAAATTCATTGTTCCTCTTTGAAGTCATCCTGCATGGGATCTTAAAAGATTCTGCACCAGCCGGATTAGCAAATATTATTGCAATTCCAAAATAAGATTGTCTGTGCATCATTCTTTGGACTACTGATATGAAATCATCTAGCGCCAAGATGAGATTTGCAAAAAATGCTGGAATTGTTGGGATAACTACTTTAGCACTGTGCCAGCTTCATTTAACAAAGCCACCTTGATTCCTTTAGAACTGTGGGTCTCATTTTCATTATCTCCTGTAAGTGAAGAGTTTCTCTCCTGGGTTTTGTGCTGGTTATTTCATACATGTAACACAAACAAGGAGCCTCACCCTTGATGTAGTGGCTTAGTCAATGCTCTTGGAGGGGGTTTGGCCAAGAGGGAGCCCTTATAAAGCAATTCCCTTTGTCCTTAGTGAGGAAAAAAGTGTTTATTTCTACTCCTTGGAGGTAGAATGAAATGTTTTGCTTGGTAACATCTGTGTTGCAAGAGAACATATATATATGTTATTTTTTTTTTCCTCTGAGGATGTATTTTATAACTGGTGATTAGGAAATGCACCCAAGCAGCAGTTACAGCCAGGCTGGGCCCTCGGGCTGCTGGTGTTGTCAGGAGGTCATGCAATAGTCAGGGATAGCAGAAAGTGCAATTAAACTTTTTATAGACTGTAGTGACAGCTGAGTATCATGTTCTTGTCCTTATGCTCATGGAGTGAATCACAGAAATCAATAGAGGAAAAAAAGTTCAAATTAGCCTGGTTTCATTTGCATGCAGAATTTTGAATTTACTTTTGGAAGAATTTTATGTTTGAGCAATATTCTTAAAATACCAAACTTTTGGTAATCCTAATAGGAACACCCTGGCAGTGTGGTGCCCAGGGCATCTGTCCAGTCACAGGCTCCGTGTTCTCCACAGTCAAAGACAGAAGCACATGGCTGCAGGACACAAATGCCAGTTCATCCAACAGCATTAACTTAATTTCCTTAGCATGAGCTTGAGCACAAATTGAACAAGGGGAACCTGTGCAGGCAGCCAGGAGTGAGCCCAGCATCAGGTGGGCTGGACTGTTTTTGAGGATTTGGACAGATCTGTGTAGGACAATCAATTTACTGCAATAAATCGATGAGGTTTTTAAAAATAGAAATGAAATGTCAAGTGTCATGAAGTCTGAATTAAGGAACTTGAAATGGGGCAGGTTTTTATCTTTTGTATGTCTGTGACTTGCAGCAAACCTCAAATGACCTTTTGGATACCAATATTTTTATCTGCTTTGACTGTTCATAAGAATGAATCTCAACATTCCTTTTTTGATATTTAAGCCATAATTGTAAAAATTATTTGAATTTATTTAAATAATAAATTTTATTACTAAAAGGTCTGTTTATGTGATGGTTTGACTAGAATCTGTGTGGGGACAGCTCTGTTTGGACTGAACCAAGTGATAAAAAAGAAAACATTAACTTCAGGTTTTTGGCAGATTATTTATTGTATTTATTGTTGGGGATTATTTATTGTATTTATTGTTGGGTTTTGGTTGGTGTTTTTTTTTTAATTAAAGTGATCTTTTCATGCACTATAGAGGGGTGAGGTCATGCTTAGGTACCTATATGGCACAGGGTATAGATGGTGAGAGAAACCAGTGATGGACATAAGGTTGGGTGGGTGATTTGAAGAGCTTAAGAACTGAGTTCAGGTATTTTGGAGGAAGGACAATACAAACCCAAAACATCACTGGAAGAAGCTGACACTGAGCATCCTTCAGTGGATGGAAAGCACTGGATGGTAGAGGTGCTTCTGTCTCTTGTGCTTGCTTTAGAGGTGTCCTTCAAGATTTTCTGGTTCTGGCTGCTCCCACCATTGCAGTGGGACAAAATTGTTGAGTCCCAAATGCTGCTTAAAAATGTTATTTTTTGTGAGAAATTTCAAATGGCTTACTGCTAACCCAGAGAGATTTTTGGGAAGGCACCTGTACAATTGCTGTTGAAAACAGAACAAGTTTGATTTAAAGCAAACTCTTTAAACAATTTATTCTTAATTACTCTTATTCACCTTTTTCATTAAACCATTTAACTGAAGGAGTCGGTCTTGTGAGCCGCCTCATCAGGCTGCGGCTGGGGGCTTCCTTGGTGTCCTCAGCAGGGTGAGTTTTTGTCTTCAATACAATGCAGTCGTACCACTGCGAGTAGACGAGCGTGTGAGTGTCAGACCTCCTCACTTTGAACTCGTACGACCTGCCAGGGATCAGGTGGTTGATGACACAGGGGTTGGAGATGACTTCCTGGGTCTGATGGTATCCTGGTTCTGTCTGACTGTCGTCTGGCACCAGCTTCATCTCCAGCTGCCATCGTTCCAGGTGTGACTCCTGGCTTTCAGTGAACCACTTGAGCTGGGCCCAGGTCTGGCACGCGAATGACTCCGTCCGATCAAAAATCGGCGGCTTCTTCGTATAGAGAGTAAAAGTAATGGGAGGGTGTAGGGCACCTCCAAGATGTATCTGTGATACCAAACTGTGCTTGACGTGGAGCTTCCTCGGCTCTTCCAAGGAAATGAGCTTACTGAGAAACATGGAGAGCTTGAGCACTCTCTTTATGTTCAAGTTCCACTGGGAGAGGAAAGCTTCTACGTCACAGATCTGTACATAACGGCTCAGCTCCTCCCGACCTCGTTCCAGCTGTTCCAAGAGCTCAGTTAAAAGAGCCAGCTGGATTTCTGTCTGTTTTCTTCCCACCTTCTTGATCTTCTGGAGCTGGCAGGGGTTTGCTATTTGCAAGATGTCAGCAAAAATCATCATATTGTTCTGGTCTCTCACGCACACGTGTCTGGGCTCAAACTTCAAATAAAAGTAACACTTCTTCAGAAGATGAACTTTGTTCCAGTGGTACTGGAGGTGGTGGGGGTTCAGGTCAGAGTGCAGGAATTCCAGAACAAGGTTTTTGTTTCTCAGGTACTGCTTCATGGTGTCATTTTCGTCCTGTTGTTCTCTGGGTGAGGTACTGTCCAAAGTGGTTTCAGTCTCATGCCAAATCTTAGCCATGTTTCCAAAGCTTAGCTGCTGTATAGGAAAGCAACAATAATTACATTAAGGACCAAAGGAAAAGCAGCTGTGAGGGAGTACAATCATGGCTGTGACTCTTCTCTCTTAATTAAAGCTTAGCTTACAAAGAACTGTCAGACTAGATGTAGTTCCATAGGAATTTTCCTTTATACTTTTCTGGTGTCTAATGTTTCGTATCCTCTACTTATATGTGTTCCAACTGGTCTCCCTCTACCCGCCCTTGAGAGGTTCTGCCTCTACTTAATAGATTCACTGACAGGAGCTATTCTCTGATACACTCTGCCAAAATTTCTCCCTATCTTATTATCTTGTTTCATTCTAATTAGCTGCCTTTGTACTCCTGTAAGCAATTTCTTTCCATTCTTCTGCCTCTCTGGAGATGCCTATTTTTCTCTCTTTGTAATTTGCCAGGCTGTTGAGGTTTGAGGCCCATCTTCTCAGCCAGTTCCTACAGCTACATAATCACATTGGTGATTCAAATTAACCCTCTGCCCCCACATGAGCTGGAATGCAGCAGGAAGAACAACACAATCCACTGAGTGCCACCTCACGACAGCTTCCAAGAGGAATGACAGCGTTTTCCTTGTGCTTCTAGCTTCACCAGTGGATTGACAGTCATAACCTGACAGTGTTTTCTGTATGTGCTGCTTTCCCTATCTTTGGGTTTAGTTTGAATCATTTCAGACCATGAGGTCTACTTGGATTTTCTGCAGTGTACAGCAAGAGGATGACACATGTAAAGCACCTGTAAACAGGTAACAGTTTGCTGTGGGGGCATTTTGGCAGTGGTTCTTGCAGCACTGCTTCTAATGGCATAATCTTAGCTGTTTACAGGGGTCTGGAGTGACAGGAAAAGGGGGAAAGGCCTCAAACTGACAGAGGGCAGGGTTAGATTGGATATTGGGAAGAAATTGTGAGGGTGGTGAGGCATTGGCACAGACTGCACAGAGAAGCTGTGGCTGCCCCACCCCTGGAAGTGTTCACGGCCAGGTTGGATGGGGCTTGGAGCAGCCTGGGATAGTGGAAGGTGTCCCTGCCCATGGCAGGGCATTGGAATGAAATGAGCTTCAAGGTCCTTTTCAACTCAAACCATTCTGGGATGATTTTATATTTCATTTACTGGCAAAGATGTGCCCTGGCTGATGGTGCCATCTGTGCCAAGGTGGAAGGTGTTTGTGTGTTGTGCTTTAGCTGAAGTGCCTGTGGCTCACACAGCTTATGTACCACAAACAGCAATTAGCTAAATAAATGCCTGTATCCCTGTTGTCAATGATACTATAATGGAAACCCAGATGGATATTTAGGTGGCTTTCACATGCTGAATACACCTGATTTGAAAACAAAAGAAATACAGTATTCTGAAACTAAAACCTAATTGGGATATCTTAATTTCTACATGCCCTGTAGAAGGTAGATGGTGAGATCTACTTAACAAAGCCATTTTTCTTGGCCTCATTTTCCCTAAATTCATAACAGAGCTAATAACACTTCCTCATAGGAATTCCAAGCATTTGTAAAGCTTTCAGCCGTCTGGCCCTGAGCTGCACCACAGTTTATAGTAAGTCATTCATTTGCAACTTTATCTTCCAAGAGAGCTGTCAACTGAAGAAAAACAAGCTGTATTTCCTTTTCACTTTTTTCTTTCCACAAAAAAACCCGACCTAAACCAAAGCAGTGCCAGCTCCCAGCATCGTATATGAAGCAGCAGGACCAGCACATGTGCCAGGTGACATTCCCCACTCTTGGAGGGATTTGGCTCTGCCAAGCAATGTGTTTGCCCACAGACCGAGCTGTCATTGTGCTTATTTTCCCTCGCTTTTCCCCATGTTTTTACATCCCTTTTTTCTCCTCCTGCCAGGGAGGGCTGGCTGTATTCCCTGCACTGCTGCTCTGTTTGCAGCCGGGAGGAGCTGCATCGCCCCAGGAGGGGCTCTGAGTTCACCCAGACCGGGGTTTGGAGAGGCCACAGGGGCACCCAGGGGCTGCCTGCTCAGCCCTGGCCGACCTTGTCACACCCTGGGAGCGGTGTCCGGGTGCTATTCCCACCACAAGAGCTGTATCCAGGTTTTATTCCCACCCTGGGAGCGGTGTCCGGGTGCTATTCCCACCACAAGAGCTGTATCCAGGTCCTATTCCCACCCCAGGAGCAGTGTCCAGGTGCTATTCCAGCAGTGTCCAGGTCCTGTTCCCACTCCAGGGGCAGTGTCCAGGTCCTGTTCCCACCCCAGGAGCAGTGTCCGGGTGCTATTCCATCAGTGTCCAGGTCCTATTCCCACCCCAGGAGCGATGTCCAGGTCCTGTTCCCACCC